TCAACCCAGAGTGCATCCTCCCCCGTGCCCACATCCCATCCGTCATCCCATCTGATGGATTCTGCCTCCAAGATGGATTCGCCCACTTCTTTCTGTGCCCAGTGCCCCCACCTGGCTGGCCCACACCCTCATGGCCCCGGGTCATATACAGCAGGCTCCTTACTGGCCTCGTGCCCCACTCTCATCCTGGTCAGTGTCTTCCTCACACGACAGCCAGGGGGGTCTTCTAAACACCCACATCTGGTTTCCGTCCCTCCCTGCTTCAGCCCTGTATTGGCTCCCCAGTGACCTCAGGATCAAGTCCACCCTCCTCAACAAGGCCTCCAGCCCGCATGGTCTGGCCAGATCTGGCCTCTCCGGTCCCAATCTCTCTCCAGCCCGTGGTCTGTTCCCTTATTTTGCTATCGCCTGGTCAGGCCACACTTTGCAGTTACTCAAAGGCAGCACGCTTCCTCCTACTTACAGGCTTTCCCGTAGCCTTTCCTCTTCCCAAATGTACTTCCTGCAATTCTTTCCCACCCCACCAACTTCCTCTCATTCCTCAGCTTAAATAGACACGACTTCCTCCAGGAAACTTCCCATGATGCTCCAAGCCTGATCCAAACTACCTTGCTCCAAGTGTTCCCATGGCCCTCTGCTCCTAGACACTTGCCACGCTAGGTCACCTGCATGTCCATCCCACCTCCCCCCAACTCAGCTGAAGGTGGTGCTTTGAGGCTGAGGACTGAGTCTTGTTCCCTGCTGTATCCTCAGGGCCTAAGGTGGGGCCTGGTATGTGCCAAGCATGAATGCTTTTGTCAAGAGTGAATGACAACATTGATTCATAAGGTGGGTTTGGAGAGAGTTGGTTTCCGGAGGGGTTGTGGCAGACCCTGGGTCTTGGGGTATTGGGGTTTTGGTTTTATTTTACAGGAGGCTGTATTATTCATCCCTCTATCCGCCCCTCCCTTCTCCCCAGGACCTAGCACAGTGCTTTCACATGCTCTCAGCATCTGCTTGGGTTGGGGGTATTGGGAGGTCCTCTCAGTATCTCTTCAAGCCCCATAGATCTATATGGTCTGCAGGGAGCCAAAAAAAGGAAAACCCTTGCCGTCGAGTCGATTTCAACTCATAGCGACCCTATAGGACAGAGTAGAAATGCCCCACAGGGTTTCCAAGGAGCAGCTGGTGGATTCGAACTGCCAACTTTTTGATTAGCAGCTGAGCTCTTAACCACTGTGCCGCCAGGGCTCCAAGCCACTCTTAACTGCCAGGGAAGACAGAGAGGGCCAGGGTGTGCCAAGTGGCTGCCCTGGGGCTCCGAAGCCAGGCTGGATGGGTGCCGCATTTCCTGAGCCAGCCCTTTGTCACCAAGAAAATGAGAACAAACACTAGCGTCGCATTTACCCTGTGCCGTGCTCTGTTTGGAGCCCTTTTCACAGATTTACTCACTTACTCCTCACAACAGCCTATGAGGAAGGGACTATATTTATACTTATTTCACAGGTGAGGAAACAGACGCAAAGTCCAAGGTCACACAGCTAGGCAGTGATGTAGCCAGGATTTGGGGGTTTTCCAGTGGTCTTTCTATTATGGATTTCTACTTTAATTCTGTGGGGTTTTGATCCTTTTAAATTTATTGAGCCTTGTTTTAGGGCTCAGCATAGGGTCTGTCCTGGAGGATATTCCATATGTAGTTGGGAAGAATATGTGTTGTGCTGATGGTGGGTGCAGTGCTCTACAAATGTCAGTTAGGTCCTGGAAGTGTGTAGCATTGTTCAGGTCTTCCATATCCATTCTGATACTCTGTCTACTTGTCCTGTCAGTAACTGAGAGAGGAGTGTTGAAATCTCCTCCTGTAATTGTGGGTTTGACTATTTCTCCTTTCAGTTCTATCAGTTTTTACTTCATGAATTTGGAAGACCCATACATGTTTAGGACTAT